ACAGTCCCGTATGTGAACGAAAGCCCAGGAAGTGTACTCGCTGGTATCCCAATTTGATTAAAAGAGTCTGCCAGGTGTGTAAAACTTAGCGGCATTTAGTTATAAATTCAGGAACTGAGATTTTCAGTTCACTCATCGAAAAACAAAATACTATCACATATTGCTTCGGTGTTTCGAGGCATAGCATTTTTGGCGCTAAACTTATAAGGAACTAAGCTCTTGTGATCTTAAAAAATTCACATACATTAGTGTAAAATGTCTTCACATACTTGATAAAGTTCCGATCAGGCACCTCGTAGGTTTTTCTTACACTCCTAGAAAGATTTTGAGTCTGACGTGCGAACTCACGAGCTACACCACGATAAGCAGCCCTAAACTAATTTTTTTACACAATGAGTGTAACTTTGAGCTGCCTTTACATACATGGAAAACTCACATTGCTCATTTGGTTCGACTCAGATCATATCATATATACAACATCTAGTCACTCCATTCGAATGGTATATATACGAAAGTAATACAATGTCATGTAGATTAACATTGGTAAACTTGCCACTAATTCAATTGGAAATAATTTCGAGAAATATATTTCAATCATGTTTATTCGTCCAGCTATTTGGGCTTCGGAAGCGATCAACACTAGTTCGTCGAATAGGTGCGGCAGGAAATTTAAGCTGGAAAAGACGATAGGTTGATTTATGTAGTCGTATGGAGGTACTAGAAAATTAAAAATAGTTTGTTTAAGGATAATCATTATATGGAGCATATTTTAACTAGTTCTTAGGCCAAAATAAAAATTAACACAAAATGGGGATTTAATTCCTGAGATTGGTGTGCAGATGGAATAATATCGGATTCTTCTTAAGTTAGCTCGGATGATAAGAGTAAGTGAAAAAAGTTAAATCTGGTAAACAGGCCCTTGTCGAAGGGTGAGCAGATTAACTTCTTCGTATATTTAGATATTACTTAGAAAATTCACTTTATACATAAACAAAACTATTTGAGTTTCTCGTTCAAAGGGAGATGGAAACTTTAAGCACGAAAGTTTAGTCGCCAAGTCACCAGACCCATATATATTAGCTTCAGGTTTTCCGGTTCCCACAATTAGTCCCATTTTTCTGGAAGTTCCAGCTGTTCGTGTCTGTTACTCCTATAATATTAGCATTTTGGGACATTTGTAAATTGATATTCGTTAACAACTTTCTATTTCAGCTTTAATGCAGCCATATTTTGTTTGATCTGATATTATTCTCGGTGATAACTCTATTTAGATTAAGTAATTACTATAATAAGAAATTTAAGAGATTTCGGAGTATAATTAATTAACCGCTACTTTGCAATCATCATGATATGAGCAATCACATTATTTTCCATCTAATAAATTCAAATTTTAATTTTAAATATAAATGCATAATTTTTACGAGATTGCAGTTAAGGGATAGCAGATCAAAATATTATGAAATATCAGAATGTCAGAATTAAAGCCACCCTCCTTAAGTCACTCTGTTAAGTTGTAATTCTCGATGGTAACTGAAAGGAAGGTTTTATCATGCAAGTT